CATTTTTAAAACCTATCCTTTCGATGATTGAAATGAGGGATGGGCATTTTTGGCAATTTCTCATTTCGATCATCAATAATTTCAAAAACGAGCACTCGGGGGGCATGGCCATAATGGAGATAATGAAAATATCTGAATTTTCATGTTGCGATTAATTGATCATGCTTTTATCACGGTATACGGTATTATCGCGATATTGAAATTTAGTTGCAAAAAAGTGCTGTCATAATACAGTATAACAGGTTTAATAACTTTTTTCTTGTAACAAAAATAACTGAACTTTTAAATACAATAAAGCAATACACAAAAAATGTATAAAGTTACAAATTTTACACAGATTAAAGTGCAAAATAATTATAAAAACCAATTTGCATTAACCTTCACAATGAGCAATAGTTACATTTGCTACAGAAGTTATTAAACTTTGTTAAAAAAAATACAACCCTTAGTTCATGTTAGCTCATTAAATAACACAGTTGCAACGTTTGATTTTAACAATGTGTTATTAAATATTGGAATTACCTAAGATTAATGAATGTTTAGAATAATTTTTCATTGGCAGTTTATGTTAACTAATGTTAACTAATGAAGCCCTAATGTAAAGTTTGACCGAACAATAAAGAATCAAAACACTTTCAAACAATATCTAGGGCATGTTTGAAAATAAATAGCCTATTAAGTCTAAATATTTACATATTTGGCACTGTGATGAACACCATAGCCAATACAAAAATCTGAATGGGTATTTAAATCATTTAAACACTTTCCGAAACAAAAAGCTGTTTTGTTTACGGGGTTTCTGGGGTAACAGCTGCATTATGTTTAGCGACATGTGCTGTCAGAGAGTGAATGTGCTTTCATCCAGAGCATCTCTCACGAGTTCCGCCATGCGCTTCTGTAAGAAAAGTAGTTTAAATGTTTTGCCACTTGCTTGAGCAACTTTATATATAAATCTAGAAGTAAATGCAAAAGTAAAAAGCATTGAATAATGTGTTTCTTATATTTATTGCATTTAAACACGTCTATGAAAGATTGTATTACTTTGTGTAAAAAAATTTAAAAAAAAGAATCACAATGCTGAAAAAGCATTTTCAGTAACAGTGTTTGGATTTGAAATCAAAATCCATGGATCAGACTAGTGGACTCACAAAGCGCAGTGAGCACCTGCTGCTTCTGCACCGCCTATGTACTGCACACGGACTGCATACGCACTGCAAACAGAGTATGTGTGAACCTGGTGTAATACTGCCTCGCATACAGCTCACGAAATCAGGCTTGTGCTGTGTGTAAGCTATTGTGCAACAATTGCAAGATTGTAAAAACAAAAATGCACTGCATGATCAAACATTTAGGTGAGATAAATATGTATTTTTGAAAAATGTCTAAAAAATGCCCCCCTCCTCCCCTCAAATTAAAAAAGTGAGTCACCTCAGAGGGGAATTCATTTTCAAAAATGAAATTCAGGCCCTGAATAAATGTCTAAAAATCTTGATTGGATCATCACTATAAATAATTCTACATGATAAAAAGAAGGCTTTAAAAAAATTGGTATCGGTGATCGTATCGGCAGATACTGCTTTCTGTTATCAGTGATCGGTGATCACCCTCAAAAACCCTGATCAGAGCACCCCTAGTTGTCAGCTAAAGAGATGCTTTAGGGTACCATAAATATTAGTGTTGTAATTTTACAGTTGTACTGTAAAATAAAATGTATTAGGTTTTTTTTATTTTTACATTTGTCTTAAATATCAATATAATAATATTTCTTATTTTGTATACTATTATTATTTTGTTATTATTATTTATTTTGCAATTATATTGCTCTATAACTGCAAAACAAGATTGTGCAGCTCTACGAACAAGCAAAGCAAACATGGAGCTTTAAAATATAAAAAAAATATATATTAAACCACAGTCACAAATTTTAATAGAAAAAAATAATTTATTTTTTTTCCCTTCAAATATCTATTTTTCCCCCAAATTGTGCAGCCCTACCTTCATGTCATCATTTTCATGACTTTCTTTTTCTTGTACAGGACGCAATAGAAGAATGATTCAGCTAATTTGTCCAAACAATAAAAGTCAATGGGGTCCAAAACAACAAATTGGACACCATTGACTTTTAGTGTATGGGCAAAATACACTAAATACACTTTTGTGTTCCACAAAATAAAGTCATATACATTTAGACCAACATTTGGGTGAGTAAAGGATGACAAAATGTTCATTTTTGGGGGGGAACTATCAACTACCAAGAATTGTGGACAATATGTGCTAATTCTGTGGCTTTGCATTCTAGTCTCGAACTGATGACAAAGTTGTCCGTTTCAAAAAAGCAGTGGAGTATTACGTCACCGCCAGCAAGCCCCCTCACTTTCCCCCTTATTTAGGTAAGATTGTCAATGTTTTTGATTTTCCCTCTCTGACAGAATGACATCCGTTCCTGTTGGTTCATTCTGGTTAAATTCTTGGAGCAGGACAAGTGTACTAATGCTCGCCTGGTGTTGTGTTTTCCTGTCTGTGTTTGAGGCCAGGTTTTAGAGGCACACTCTGTCTCTTTCTTAAACGTCTCTCGGTCTCAGCCCTCACAGTAATGTGAGAAATTTTTCCACTTGCCTCAGACCTTGTGTGCACTTGGAATGGCCGCTGTGCATACAAATGGGCTTCTTTAGAAAGGACTCTCACTCAAGAGAGCTGAAAACTTTCAGCAGGTTCATTGAAAGGGTGTCAGTTGAACATTATGGGATGAGAGAATAATTAAATTCGGCATCTTCCAATCAGTGAGAGCATGTTTGACAAATTATAGTGGTTGTCTTGTAGAACTATAATAGTCTTTAATCGAATTCAGACAGACTGACATTTTGCATGATTTTAAATGTTCTGGTGTTGTTAGAATGGTATGAATGCGGGCTGTTTCTCATATACCTCACTGCGACTCTGTGCCTACACACATTTTGAATGCATCAAGGTCAGTTTCCAAGGTGGGTGGACATGCGGTATAACAAGAATCTCAGTTAGGGCTTTTTTAGCAATAAAAAATATATATCTTTTCTGGGAATGGTTGTTTTTCTTTCTAAGTTTCTCTACATTATTTTCAGTTTTTGCTCCAGAGATTGAACCAGATTCTTTTTTACATTTGTATGCCCACAGTCAGACCAAATCAGATGGGATTGCCAGCAGCACCGCAGATGCTTAACATTCCAGGCAAACCTGGGGTGAGTACCATTTCACCATTATGGTCCATCCTGAATGACTCACGCTTACCCATCAGACTGACACATACATGTTTCTGTTCATTCTCCCAGGTCCAGCATGGCTATTCCGGCCCTCCGTTGGCCGAGCCTGTCCATGAGGCGGACCCGTCAGCTAAAGGGCTCCTAGAACAGAACAGCTACAGCAACATTCCTAATGACGGGAAGCAGCACATGCCGCTCTACGAGAGGTTGTCCCCCATCAACCAAGCTCACGGCGGCCACTCCAACCACACAGACCCAGCCTTCTTCATCACCTCGTCCACATCCTCGTCCTCCGAGAATGAAGAAAACACAGGCTCCACTGCCAAGTGAGTAACCGAGAACAAGGGAATGTATGTGGGATATGTTGTCTTTCCAAAAAGGCTTTCTTCTAGTCATAAATTTAACCCAGGTTTTGTGTGTACAGACAGTTTTGTGGATAGAGTTATTGTTTTGATGCTTACTGCCACTGGTTTTTGCTGCAGAAAGTGTTGTTTGCTGTACTGACTGAGATGTTCTACAAGGTCATAAATACATTTATACAAGTTTGCCTAACCAATCTCTGCAGACATAGACATTAAACTCTGATACATATTTTTCATATTAGTTAGGGATGTACAATAAATAAAATATATGGATAAACATATTAAATTGATCAAGTAAAGACGTTTACATCACGAAAGATTTGTTTAAAATAAATACTGTTCATTTGAACTTTCTATTCATCAAACAATCCTGAGAAACCTATCATGGTTTTTACAAAAATATGGAGCAGCACGATTGTTTTCAATATTGATCATAAGAAATGTTTCTTAAACACAAAATCAGCATGTTAGAATGATTTCTGAAGGATCATGTCAGATCCTTCAGAAATCCATTACTGAAGACTGGAGTAATGGCTGCTGAAAATCCAGCTTTGCCATCACAGGAATAAAATGTGTAAAATATTATTTTAAATTGTAATAATATTTGACACTGTTACTGTTTTACTGTATTTTTGATCAAATTAAATTACAAAATCAATATCCATTTTTATATTGTACATTATAATGTTGTGATGCCTAAATTCACTTGAAGCATTTACAATTATTTATTACAATTTTTAGTGTTTAATTTTTAATTTATTCAGACAAAATACTAACATATATAATATAATCTCAGGTCTTAATTTTTTTTAAATCTTATATTTCTCCGACACGGTGCCGGTGTTGTGCCCATTTTCGACCCCATGCCAAATTATTACCCCTCTCGTTGAAATCGCTATCTAATTGCCTAATCCTAACCCCACCCCTAATCCTAACCCCTCCCCCACACCTAACCCTAAACCTACCCATACTAGGGGGGTCAGAATTCGGCACAACACCGGATCTCCGGCGTGCAGCATTTGGCTGCAGAAAAAAATAGTCCTACATTTAAAAAAAAAAAAACTTGATATCACATTCAAGTCCATGAGTTCGCCTAATAATGGTATGAGAGCAGCACAGATTTCACTCTCAACCAAACTAACATTACTAGCCAATCAGAATTTTTTGTGAATTTTTTTCAGAGTCGCAGCCCTGATGAATGGAGAAGCGTGACAAAAAGATGTGAGGCGCAATGGTCAAAGATGTCCATCTAGCGCATATTTACATAGAAAAACGAATTAAAAAGCAGCGGAGCTTTGTAAACAACTATACAAAGTAATCACGTCATCACCATAAGAACGATATGATTGCCAGAACAAATTTACCAGGATTTTTGAAAAGCCGGTCCTGTTCACACATGATCTCTTAATGGTAACTTACCGGTAATTTACCAGTGAAGACTGTGAAAGGGGCTAAACTCTTCCTCTGCATATGCTGTGAATTTTAATTGCTTAACGTTCATCTGGGAAAACAGTGTGCATTATCTCACTAGATTTGTAACATAAATAATTTATAAACCTTTGCCAACACAGGAGAATACTTCAACCTATTTCTAAATATGCCATTTATTGTACATTGCGATTACAAAATAAAAGTTTCTGAGTTTGCATGTGGCCAAATATTACAATTAAATGGATTTAAACGTCTAGCTTGCTCTATTCTTTTTCTATTCTATCTGTTTTCTTTTTATTTATTATATAATTTATTGCTACGTGTTAGGGCTGTCACGATAATAGATTTTCACACCACGTTTATTGTGGCCAAAAGAATTCACAATATCGATATATCGCGATATCTATAGAAACCTTGGGGAATCAGCCAAATTAATTTTTACTTTATTTAGTTTTTTTTTTACTCAATGAACATAAGGATACTGATAAACACAGGGCACAAGCATTTTCGCTGCTTCTTCTTCAGGTCACAGCTGACCTGAGACTCTGGCTTTCTCTGTCTTCTTTGAAGCTCCCTATGAAATAACAAGAGAGAAAATACTGTCAAGTTCAACAGTATGATGAATAAATATTAACATCAAAACTGATACTTTAACCTGTTAACTTGCGTACCCGTATTTTAATCTCTTTAACCTATATTTGCTCCGGCGCTAATGAAGTCATGCAGTTAACGCGCTTCTAATTCAGTATTAATTTGCGTCTAGAATGGCTGCAAATGAGGCATTAAGTGCATGGCACTGCGACCAACTTAACATTTTACAGAGTTTAATATAGCAATGTGGTCGCTGAGTTTTTCTAGATTTGTTTTAATCATGTAATAGATTTGAACAACGAAATCAAGTGCTACGCACATGTATTGGCCATGACTTGATTGCAAATACAAATACAAAAATTAGATGAGTAAAGAAAATGCGATATTCCTTAAAAAAATCACCCCTTTATTTAAATATATGAACACAGGAAACCGCTGTTAACAGGTTAATGTAACGTTTCCCATTCCATGACTAGTAAAATAATGGCAACTTACTGTCTGTATAATATTGAACATGGTTCTTCTCGGAGTCTTCTTCTTGTTTGACTGGTGTCAGCGTTAAGGCGCAATACTGCCGCCTGGGAGGTCAAACAGGTACTGGTGCTGGAGTAGGTTATTTGCGTGTCGTGTTAAGTGTCCTGTTCAGTTTAAATATTGTGGTTATCGCCAATACCGATATATCGTCACACCCTAAATTAACATAATGTCGATATTTCATGATTTGAATATCACGGTTATCGTCAATACTGGTATATCGCGACACCCCTACTACGTGTACTGCGTTAAGCTAACTGAGACTTGTTATAGCACTTGCATATCATAGTTCTTTTGTTGATTTTGATTGCCTCCATTGTCCTCATTTGTAAGTCGCTTTGGATAAAAGTGTCTGCTAAATGACTAAATGTAAATGTTTAATCACGCTGTGAAGTGAAACGTCACCAGGCCGTTGGCGCCCTCTGCAGGTATTTGTTATAATACATAATGTACTTAAGTTGGTTATGTTCATATTATGTATAGGCAGGGGTGCACATAAGTTTTTCAGCCTGGTTCTCATATGAGAACCTGGAGATTTGGTTTGGTCCTCACACTGCATATACTGTTACCCATTAAATATAACTATTAAAAAAATGTTTTAATAAGACTGATAATAATATTGCACTTTATTTATTTAGTTTTATTTAAGTAAAATGAATAAACTAAATAATAAAGTGTGATAATACTGTTATATTTTAAAATTAAAGGGAAGTATTAAATACAATTACTTTATAGTAAACTTAAAAATAAAATGTTAATATTTACTACTTTTTTTGTAATTTTCATAATCTTTGAACTTAAAATCAGCAGGCTTTTATTTTGGCGGGTTGCCGGCAAAGTAAGTATATGCGCTAACAGGTTTGGAGCTGCCGATTGAAGAACGTCAGTGAATGAAATGTCACAGTTTTGCATTGTGCTTTGAAAAAACGTCAGCGGATAGCCTAGATTTATGCTTTCAGTTTGAATAGAAATCTTATACAGTACAGTTTGTCGATCTAAAATGGTGATTGTGCGCTGTCGGAACGTATTTACACAGCGCATTTTTTGTTTTGGTCGCGCATGCGGACCTGCAGACCACTTATGTGCCCCCCTGTGTATATGCATATTACATGTATTTTAACAGTGTTGTTATTATTATTGCCTCATCGTTAGTTTATATATAAATAGTCATACTAATGCATGGTTTTCACTTAGGTCTATTTGTGTTACTAAAAAGTATCAGATACCAAAATAATCATGAGTTACAGCCCTAGATTAGTTAAAATATTTCAAAATACAACTGCATTGTTTTACTTTTTCGATTAAAAGACAAAAAACTATTTTGTCAATGAAAAAATCCATTTAAATTCTTAAAAATAGTATTAAAATATCATCTCGTTCTAGTGAACCAAGTATCTGTATTTTGTCTCATCTCGTGAGCTAAGTGTATTGTCACACCCCTAGTGTCGAGAAGCGGTGATATAGCTCATAATTTTACAAGTGTATGATATAGCTGTGATTCTTCAGGTCAACCATATATTCATGAAAAAAAAATCAGTTTGAATAAGGAAAGCGATAACTTTGCCATAGTATACTTTCAAATGTTAAAGTTGCCACAGTCATTGCATGTTTGCATGTGCTGCCCCCCCTGCCCCGCCCCCCGGAAAAAAGTTCAGGCTCAGGTTTTTTTTTTTTTTTTTTTGTTATTTTTTCTCCAGTACCTCTTGTGTGATTTAATCCCTGTAATCTGTTATTGGGCAAAATATGGAAATAAGGGTTATTGGTCTCTGGCTGAATTTTAATATTGGTGCATCCATTTCATTCTGAAATGTAGCCACGTAAGTGACCATAAGGGATGGGACAAACAGAGAAACCAGATGGACAACATCCCAGAAGGAGACCATGGGGACCAAAATAAAGTGGGTCGACTTTTTAGCTCTGTGTTAAAATATTATATGCTTGTTAAAAGATAACTTGATAGACAAGCTTGATACAATAATGTTATATCCATTTGAATTCTTTCATTTCTTTTTCAGTCTGATCCTTCTGTGACCTCCCCTGTAAACCAAGGCCCAGAGGGGAAAGGTCGCGTAGGGGTCAATGCCCAAATTCCATCCCTCCTTTCTATGCCAACAAGAAATCACATGGATATTACCACTCCCCCTTTACCAGTGGTGGCACCAGAGGTGCTACGAGTCGCTGAGCACAGACACAAAAAGGGCCTCATGTACCCATATATTTACCATGTGCTTACCAAGGTCAGCTTTTAGTTACTAGCAACTCAGCTGTAACTTTGAAACTACTCCTTGTTAAACTGTTATGGTTGACAATGTTTGATGGTTATTTTTTGCAGGGTGAGATTAAGTTATCTGTCACCATAGAGGATGAAGCTAACAAAGACCTGCCCTCTGCGGTGCAGCTGTACCGACCAGTACGTCAATATGTTTACGGGGTGCTCTTCAGCCTGGCCGAGGCCAAAAAGAAGGCAGAGAGACTCGCCATGTGGAGAAATCACTTCCCCGATTGTGAGTACCCAGCTAAATTGAACAATCCAACTTTTGAAACAATCATAAGTATCACTAATAAGGAAAACTGTAACACTTCTCTGTGTTTTTGATCAAATGCTTTGGAACCACCAGTTTTTGTGTTTTCGAAGTACCAATGCAATTTGGTAAGCTATTGGCAATTTGGCCAATTTATGAATTGCAACATTGTTACATAACCTTCATGGAGTGACCATCTGTTTAATGTAATTAATATTCATGAGCTAGACCTTTACCAAATTTACAAAAACGCCAACATTTTGAAGATATTTCAGAATAAATCTATCTACATGAAGTATTGAAGCAGCATCACAGGATTTTGCATCTTCCCTAATGGTATTATTCAGAAATTTCAATTATAGGTTGTCCAAATTTTTAATTTGTCTACTATTATATTAAACGATTTCATGAAGTTGTTATTGAAATGTTAAAGTTAAAAAATGTTTAATTATATTGTATAATTGTATACATTTTTTGCCAAATGCATTAAAATATTTTAAAAATTATGAATGTATTATTACTATTAATATTTTTTGCCATGAATATAGCCTTTGATGCAGATATGGAGTTAAAAAAAAAAATGAGTAGAAAAATAGCTACTCACACCTGGGATAAATCTGCATTTAAATTAGTAAAAAAGACTAGCTTGTATAGTCATAATATATAGACTGTTCTGAATTTTTCAAGAACAGTAGGTCTAAATAAGCTGATAAATGTTACAATTATTTGATTCCTGCATGTTTCAGAATTGTTAAAGTTATTTTGACATACTTGGAATCTGTTCTCATTTTCCAACTTTTTTTAAAATTGAGATTTAATAATTCAGAGAGTGCACTTGAGTGTTGACATTAGCTTGGTATTCTAGGCTGTAACTGGGCAAATTAATTTCAATAATTAGCATCATTCAAAAACTAATATTAGCTGTTAATGCTGACATTCTTTTTTTTTAAATTAAATTAGAATACAAGATATGAAAATAGAAGAGCTAAACACTGTTATTCAGAATTAAACATTCCATTCTTTTTTTTTTTCATTAAAGAAATTTTAGTTGAACCTTTCAAGGCAGATCTGCCATGAGCTTGGGAGTTAAGCAACATTATACTATTACTACATGACTAGGCAAAAAAGATTAATTGCCAAATTCACAGTGGAAAAAAAACTTGACTACCCATGATCCACCAATCTGAATATTTGGATATTTCCAGAAAACTATTTGTATTATAATATCAACTTTGATATTTTAATGAGGGAATGTTTTTTTAAATGTCTTTGGCAAATTCCCCAGTTAAGCTTTTTTGATCTGTCTTTGTAGATCCAACAGTGATTATAAAAGAATGGGCTGCTTACAAAGGCAAATCTCCACACACCCCTGAACTGGTGGAAGCTCTTCCCTTCCGGGAGTGGACCTGCCCAAACCTGAAGAAACTCTGGCTGGGCAAGGCAGTGGAGGACAAGAACCGGAGGATGAGGGCTTTCTTGGCCTGCATGAGGTCGGACACTCCAGCTATGCTGAACCCTGCCAATGTCCCCACACCTCTTATAGTGCTGTGTTGCGTGCTACGGTGAGAATCGAAACAATTTTGTAAGACATAAAAAACATTGTGGAATATTGTTAAATGCTTTCCTAGAATTACAAATGGTTTAATCCATTGCAGAAAGGGCCTTCAGTATCAGCTCTTCAGCTCTTGTTTTTTCACTCCTTTGTGTTTTACTTCAGGTTTATGTTACAATGGCCAGGAGTAAGAATTTTGCGTCGTAATGAACTTGACGCTTTCCTAGCTCAAGCACTTTCTCCTAAACTTTATGAGCCTTACCAGCTGCAGGACCTGAAGGTGATTTATGTGGAGAATGATGCATGAGGAGTGTCCAGAGAATACCCACAAACCCACATTCCCGTTCACATCAAGGCATATGTGACTAAACATCATGAACAAAAATACTCGCAAAAAGTTGAGCGCAAAACTACTCGAACAGAATCTGCCGACAAATTTGTCATTCTCTAAAAAAAGAATAATAATACCTACATTTTGTCAAATGAACATGAAACATGAAAATTCTAAATATCTGCAAACAGTTGTTAGTATGCAAAGCTATTTGGCCAGTATGATAACGGTAACGAAAGTAAAGTTTACTATAATCAGAATGACATTATATAATTGTTTTAAGTTCGGAGACCTGAATTAATTTTTTGGTATCCAAACTAAAAATGTTTTTAGCCTCTGAAGATTTTATTTCATTTAAAATATGACATTAAATTATTAAATAAATATTCTGTTAAGGAGTTAATAGATAAAATATTTGTTTTAAAGCTTGTGTATGGTGTTTCACATTCAGATTTGGTGTGAATAGCCTACATTTCTTTCCAGTTTATTTAACAATCTGGTAAAGATATGTTTGTATTTTAATGTATTTAAAGCAATAAGCCTCTTGTTTCAAAAAGTGGGGTTTTAGGTATTTTTCTGGATAATTCTTACTTTGTAAGAATGCTTGCCAGGCTGATTGGCCTTAATGCTTTGTAAAAGCATGTTTTCATCTGATAGTCGGCTTTGCGGGAAAAGACATGGCATTTGAGCAACCTGAGTGCTAGGAATGTAGTCTTTTTGTGTAGATGGTTTACTTAGCTAGCTGAGCGGCTTTTTTCTGCTCATTTCAGTCAGTGTGGCTGTGAGCTCATAAAAACATGTAAACCATCCACACAGCAGGTTGTGCTGTGTCGTGGCTGTCCGTGTCTGTCAGTTCTGTCATTCTGTCATTTGCTTTGCTGCTGCCATTGCTGGTTGCTCTCAATGGCTGAATTGGCTGGAGTGGTTCGTGCATTAGTCTACATGTATGGATAGATTTGTTCATGCTTGCTTTGTGCTTTGGCTGAGGGGGAAGGGGTTGTAATCTACTGGGTGGTTTAACATGTAGCTGCTTATTTAACCGTAAGAGCTTTGTTTGACTGTCACTGCATCTGTCGCCACCAGATTGATAACCTGGATCCACGCGGCGTTCAGCTGGCTGCTCTTTTTATGAGCGGCGTGGATATGGCGCTGTTTGCCAATGACGTGTGTGGGCAGCCCATTCCCTGGGAACACTGCTGTCCGTGGATGTATTTTGACGGCAAGCTGCTACAGAGTAAACTCATCCGGGCCAGCAGGGACAAGGCCCCACTTATTGACCTCTGCGATGGTCAGGTACAATCGGCACAGCACCACTGTGTTTATTTATGTGCATAAGAGTCTCAAAGCCATTACAGAATGATTTAACACCGACCTCAAACTGACACACCAGATTGAAGTACTACAGCAGGAAAGATTGATGATAGAACTGTGTGATAGGGATGGATTGAAACCAATTATGGCTTCAGTACACTACCAGCCTCTGGTCCTTTTTTTTTTTTAGATTTAGACCATATATATATATATATATATATATATTATATTATATTATTATTATTTTTTTTTATTTTTTTTTTATGAATGCTGTTCTTTAGGATCCTGAAAAATATGTATCATGGTTTCCACAAAAATATTAAACAGGGCAAATGATTTTAACACCGATAATAATAAGAGATGTTAATTGAGCACCAAATCCGCATGTAACAATCATGTTACATTGAAGACTGGAGTAATGACTGCTGAAAATTCATCACAGGAAAATAGTACATTTTAAAAATATTAAAATAGAAAACCGTTATTTTAAATTGTAATAATATTTCACAATATTACAGACTTTGGTACTTCATTATTGATACTGATACCTGAGGCAACAAATAAACAATCTTGGGTGGCTGAAGAAATTCAAGCAGGGCTGTCAATAGATTTAGTAATTCCAGGTCAATAATAATGATTATTATTATTATTATTATATATATTTTTTTGTAACATTTTCATGCATTTAGTGTCTTTTTAAAGGGTAAAAGCAAACTCTGTAAATTTTGTTTTTGGCAAATCATATTACTACTACTATTACTAGTACTACTGTTCAAATGTTTAAGGTCAAGAAATTAATACTTTTATTCAGCAAGGACACATTAAATTAATCAAAAGTGACAGTAAAGATTTAATTTATAAATGACTGCTGAAAATTCATCACAGGAAAATAGTACATTTTAAAAATATTAAAATAGAAAACCGTTATTTTAAATTGTAATAATATTTCACAATATTACTTTTTACGGTTTCTTTGATCAAATAAATACAGCCATAGTAAGCATAAGAGACTTCTTTCAAAAACATTAAATCTTACCAACCCCAAACATTTGAACTGTAGTGTATATATAAAATACATTCATTTATACTACTTTGTAAATATAATTGTATACAATACAGCTATATTATGCATATTATATATTAAAAGACCTTGACAAGAGGTGCTCTCACATATTTTATTTTTGCAAAAACAGAATCCAAAAGAAACCTACAATAATTAATAATTAATTAGTTTAGCAAATAACAAATATACATTTTCTGCTTTTAAATGTTTAACAAAGATGTATTTGCAGGTGAAATGCTACTTGTTGAGCTTTCAGTCTTTAGTGCACTTTCGTTTATGGTGCTGTAACTGTATTTTATTGCTTTGTCCAATATGTACAGTAATATTTACTCAACTGTTAACCATGTTAACCATTAATCCCCAGTGTTGAATTTGTTGATAGCTTTATATATAAGATAGAAATTGTACTTTTAAATCTGGGTTGGCAATCTAACTGAGATAAAATTTACATGTATCTCCTTGTGATCCCCAGACTGAACTAGTTTCCAAGGTGGAGAAGATGCGTCAGAGTATCCTGGAAGGTCTGAACTTCTCTCGGCCACCCCAGCCGATCGTATTCCCCCCTCCACCTCCACACGCAATGCCTTTCTACCCCCCCAACAGCACCTTCTACCCTCCACCTCCTCTGCCCCCACTGCAGGGTAGAAGCAGGGGCATGCCTGGTAAGAATGATTGTTAGACTAATTGGCAAACTTAAGCAAAATACCAAACAGCTTTTCGTTAGTAATTGATTATTAATTGATTATAGTAATTCATTATTGATTTGAGTTTAGTTGTGAAAACATTTAAACAAAAATAATACTCTTTTAGAAGTAACATGTTAATACCATGTTTACTACTAGGTTGTAAAAGTGAGAAACAATGACTGAGTGGTTTTGTGAACTTGGTCAATCGATTCTTTGCTAGGGGTGTGCGATATATATCATCTGCGATAATGTCTTAATTGTTGTTTTAATGATGTGCGATTTGACATTATCGAGTATTTTGCAAAAACCATGCCCCTATTATGGATTTTTGAAAATGACCTTTCATGCAGTGTGTAACACAGCTCTAAGTGAATGAAAACATCCTGCAAAGTTTTAAATCTGAAAGTGCACCGTGTATAAAGTTATTGTCTCTCAAAAGAAAGAGACTCTTGAGTCATTGAAACTAGTTGTTTTTAAAACAAATCCCAAGCCGTTTCATGTTGACGTCAACATGAAACATTAGTATATTGCCCACCCACTTGTAGGTCTTTTCGCGTTGGTCTGAATGAAAAATGCAAATTCATTCTTTGCCACTAGGTGCCGCTTTTGGAGCGGTAAAAATAGAGGTTTCCCCGGTAACGCTGTACACAAAGCAGCACTGCGCTCACAAACGCTGCTTTATCAGGCATTACAGGCAAGATAGTGGTGGAAATTGTGATTCTTTGAAGAGATTCGTTCATTTTCAGTTCGTTCACCAAAATGATTCGTTCACTGATTCGTTCAGTGACCATTTCTTCAAGTTACATAAATATGCCAGCAGGTGGCGAAACAGAGTGTCTTATGTGTTATGTCTTAAGTAAACAAACGTATTTACTTGTTACAAAAAACTGATTTGGCTTTATTAAAATGTGTGCATAATCTACTCATTAAATAAATCTGATCGAGATTGACTCACATGCTAAATGGCCGACTGACCCGGTACACATTCATTTCGTTCACGAACGAGATGTGTACCAGTTCAGTCATTTAATTCACGAACAAGATGTACCAGTTCATTCAGCTCGTTCACGAACGACATGTACCAGTTCATTCAACTCGTTCACGAACGAGAAGATCTCTCTCGTCAAAAGAAACTCATTCAGTGAAGGGCGTATTCGTTCACTACATTCAACAAATCACATGCTCCGTCACATCTCATACTCGAAGGCTATTGGCTCGAGGTTTAATCATTATTTGACAGGATGAAACAGTCCACAGAGCTACCTGGTTCACTGAGCTGCACATGCACTGCTAATAGCACCATGCTGCTCTGGAGGGTGGAATTTCAGTGAACGAGAAATATGAGTCAATGGAGTACGTGAACGAGAACGATTCGTTCACCTAAAAGATTCGTTCAAAAAGAACGATTCATTCACGAACATAACATCACTAAGGCAAGATGAAATGAAAATGAGACCAATCGGACCAATCATTGCAGATTAGCGTCACGCAAAGGAGGGGTTTGGAAGAATTAATCGTTGAGTGAATTGTCTGGGAGTCGTTGAGCAAGTAAGGTAAAAATAAATGCATATTATAAGACAATGAAAGTGTTTTTTGACCTTGCATGCATGTCAACCTGTTGTTGGAGACTCCCAAAACCAAAAATATGAACCTTTCATTACCCATAATAGGGGCACTTTAAAACACCCAAAGAGTGCATTTCACGCATTACGTGAAGTCTAGACTTGTGCGCGTTTAGAGTGAGTTCTTTCACTGCATGATTCAGTCTATAAAACTACATTTAGAATGATCACAAATTCAAGATATGGGGGCAGAAAATGTATATATTTATACCACTTCATATAGTTAATCAATTTTACATGAGTGCCGTTTTTTTTTTCTCCAAAAATTACCATAATTACAAATGTGATTTGATTTTTTACAATTCAATAAACAAGAAGTTAATTAAGAGACTTACGTTTTAGACACCATATTGCCTGTTTTTGCTCTATTTCGCCAACAAAAATAATTCCAAACACAGTCACAGCACTGTTTTGTGTCTCTGTGCAACATTAAAGTGTTTCGTTCCTGAATTAATCAACCGTTTCGGTTCAATTGCAATGACTCGCTTATTAACAGTGACTTGCTGCCACCTACTGGCAGTTTTAATTTCACATTTAAAGTGTCTTTTCATTTTTAAAATAATTTCAAATATCAGTATTCAATGTTTTATGTTTTATTTATCAAAACATTATTTATGCATTTGTGACTGCAGGTTAAAACATTAATGTCCTGCATCAAACAGTGTGTAAATACATCTACATGCCACTTCAGATGCAGATTCTGACTGTGTTTCCTCTGCATTGCAAAGGTTAATTTTGTTGATACTGATTTCATTTGCTTGGTAACAGCCCAAATGTCTTATTATTCTAATTCACTGATTAAATGTAAGAATTTGATTCAAAAGATAATGCACTTTTAGAAAAACAAATGGCGTTATAAAGGTAAAAATGCCCATAAAATGTAAAAATTAATTAAAGGGGTCATATGATGTTGCTAAAAAGAACATTATTTTGTGTATTTGGTGTAATGAAATGTGTTTATGCGGTTTAAGGTTAAAAAAACACATTATTTTCCACCAAGAGGTGTGATTTCTACTCCTGTTATAAGGACCTTTGGTCGAGGAACCAAATACCACAATAGAGGGTTCAAGAGTCAGGGAACATACCAGGTGAATCTTATTGTTTCCTACATTTTAAAATAACAAGAATACATATGCTGATGTTCAAATGTTTGGAATAATGGCTGCTAAAAAAAATCAGTATAAGCCATCACAGAAATAAATTGTTTTAAAAGATACTAAAATAGAAATCAGTTATTTTAAATTGTTTCATAGTATTACTGTATTTTTGATCAGATAAATGCAGCCTTGGTAATGCAGCATAAGAGACTTGTTTCAAAACCATTTAAAAAAATCTTACGGATCACAAACTTTTGAATCATAGTTTATCAGTTCCAGTGGTCACATGTCCTGGGTTGTATGATTACGTTATTAAAATGCAGTGTGTGGTTATTCTTCAAAAATCAGTGATGGCATAATTTTTGATCGGATTTATGGATACTGACAGTAAAAAATGTTGCAAAATTAATTTTAACAGAGCAAGCCTGCATATGCTGCCTCAACCAATGAAGTGATAAAAGACAGAATGGAGCCGAAGTTGGTGACCAAAACACCGCATCTGCCCTTAGAAGGGTCCACAGCAGCAGAGAACGGCTTGGTGGAGGGTAAAGAGGCAGACCAGCTCAATGGGAACGAAGGGGAAAGTAGGGCTACAAACCAACCTGAAAGTGCCTTTAGCAACGAATCTAAAATGTGCAATACTAATCCTCATTTAAATGCACTAAATGAAGATGGCGAGGGCTGCAGAGATGAAGCTCTGGGTGCCGCTGTCTTAAAAACAGAAGAGTAAACCTATTTTTATAGAGAGGGTTGAAGGTTGATGGAAGGTTACGTGTTAAGGAATATCTGGAAGGATGGAAGACCTACAGTTGGTGTACATTTTTTCCTCTCCGAAAGCGATAAATGAGGACTTATGAATTTTTGAAATCCCTCTTCGACATCAGCGAGTTAAAACCACAAAGTAATGATGAGGAAACCTCTCGGTAAAACATAGATATACAAGTCATATAGAGAATCGTACCAGTTTAATGATGAAAGACGGTGTTCTCCCTCGTCAATGATATTACGTGTTTCAAAACTGGTTACATGAAATGATTTTACTTTCTCGATGAAATGCAGAAATCGAAATACCGATTTTCATTTGCCAGTCTTTTAGTTTTAGTAAGTTGAGATTCAAGGACCATATATATATATTTGCCATTGTAATTGAGTTTGTATTGTCACAGTAAATGCTTTTTTATTGTTTATAAACGTAAAACTCACGATTTGAAAGACAAAACCAAGAACGCATCTCTCACGTGTTGTCACTGTGAGTTTACTTGTGTTTTAAATGTGCGGTTGTTTTGACATTGAGTAACTAGTATTACTGCTGCATCTTAAGTTCTGATGATTTTAATATGCCATACATCAGCGATTATAGGTAATGTCAAGAAATGGTTAGACAGATCTCACGAGTTGCAAATTAGCTCTTGAAAAACACCAATGTCTCTTTCCGTGCCAGAAAATGCCATGCATCAGTGGTTTGTTGAATCAAACGTAGCACATTAGTACAACTGTCTCAGCTAAACTTTCTGCATGGCTCACGATTAAAAGAAAAAACAAACAAACAAAATGGTGTGTAGTTATAATGCATGTTGTCCTATTTCTTCCTTCATTACAAATACCGTGCCCATCTGCAAAATTTTAAAAAGCTGATAATCAGTAATAGTCCTATAAAAGGTGTTAATGATTAGTCAGTAACTGATTTGCGCTAACCTTAAGTTTATTATTTCTGTGATTTATTGACCTCTGTTGTATTTACTCCAGCATTATCTAGCCACTTTAAATATTGTTAATCCTGGTGTACTCATCACTGTATACATTATTGTTCTCTGTTGCTGTTTTCCGTATTCATACTAGATAAAAAAATCGTTAAAAAAATGGCTTCGATCTTAAATTCTCCCCCCTTTTCTTAGCTCAGAACAAGTTTTGCGAAACGTTTGACCCTCCCATTTGAGAATTTAGCCTAAGCAAGTACACTTGTAATCATTTTGATGTTTACTTTAGTGTTTTCAGAATTTATAAACGTACTTCTAAATGAGAATCATTACTTCTCCATCTAATCCTGATGCTTTTCATTGCACATTAGTGATCAGAAATATGGTGTATATTCCCCTCAGTCCCCTGCCGCAAGTCTAAGTAGGTTACCTTGATGTAAGTTGATCGGAGTTTCTTCCTAACTTATGGCTTGTAAAAGAATGAACTACTGTTGGGTTTGAGTGACTGTTGATGGTTTGTGGTGTGATGTATTTGAAAGAAAAAGAATGCAGCTTACAATGCTTAATAAAAGTCTTT